GTCGAGCTACGGGGCTGTCGAGCGCGCGCAGCTGGCGCGACACCTTGTATTCGGGCAGCACCGCACTATTTCCCACGTCGTGCGCTTCCCCCCTCGCTGTCCCTGGCATCGTTCATGCTGTGCTCCCTATGTTGAGCTCTGCAATGGTGCCTGCAATCTTCCTGCGACCATCCAGTGTCGGAATGTCGCTCTCTCGGTCGTCCTCGTACGATCGTATCCGCATTCTAAAGTTCAACGTGAACATTCACGCTAGAAGCCTGCATACCATATTTGGCATGATCGCTCGGTCGCTGTATGGCGGAGCGGCGCAGGCACGCCTTACCCATGCATACTAGGTATCTAAAGGAGCTTGCTCCAGCCAGTAATCCGTACTTCTGCACAGTTAGAGATAGTCGCCGCACCTGGGCTGCGCAGCTCGTTTCCGCATGTTCGTTTCGTCGCGAGCAAAATTGGATCGCCCAGCAAACCCGGCGGAATGTTGCTGGTGACTACCTGATCATGAATTGGAATTGGAGATATGCCGTGGCCATTTTGTTAAATTGCTGTCACGCATTGCCTGGAGCTAGGACATTCCCTCTCTTTCTACTTCATATCGGGTACTGCCAGGATTATGCTGACACGAAGTACCTACCAGGCATGCTTCACCGCCGTATATGGACCTCCGCCTGGTCCATCGCGTGCAGGTGGCGTCATCCGCAAATCGAATCTCGGCGTTTGCGGTGTATGCAGACGACCGATGAAAGTAGGCGACGGAGATGGCGGGAAGTCGAATAGTCAGTGCTTCCATGATCATGAATGCGCCCCTCGAATACTGACGATCGACAGAACTCGCGGCTCTGACGGGCATGGGTGACCCGAATGGGCCCTCGCTCTTCCCTGGACGCGATACGCCTTCGTCTATGCGGTCATTTAACGGCCGCGCGAATCACCATGCCCCGCCTCAGAAGCCCTTCGATCCGACGGAGGACGATCCTGTCGACCATAAGGCGGCCACGTCTTCAGACCAGTCGCACTACGTCGTCGCGCCTTCAATTCACGTCCAGTCCGAGTTCGCGACCATCACGCGTACGTCCGAGCCCAGCCAGCCGCTGACCTGCCTGGTCGTCGTCGAGCTTCCGGGCAAACGGACGAACACGCACGTTCCCGGAGCGGTGATGCCGAGGGAGGACAACTACGCGCAGAACACCTCGAGCGGGTACAGGGACAGCAGCAGCCGCTCCGTGCACTCTGCGTCGCGCGCGGACTACACGATGTCGCCGCAGTCGCAGTCACAGCATATCCCGTCAGACCAGCAATCACACTCCGGCCGATCGCACAACTTGTCGCCGTCGACCTCGCGCGATCCGCTCGCGACGTCGCCGCTCGAGCGGGAGATCATCCACGAAGAGGACGAGGATTCGCCGTTCGCTGCGATCACCGAGGATTTGCGGAACCGCATCATCGACTGGAAGGGACACCCACTCTCCGGACTGGGTCCTCTGCAGATGTACGACCTGCTATCTGTCAGGCGGGACACGCTGGTTCGCGAGTTCTACGTATACCTTTTTAAGGAGGCGATCATCTGCGTTGTGGAGGAGAAGAAGCGCAGCCTTGGCCGTCTCCTCTCCTCTGCTGGAGCCTCTGCGGCCTTCGGCGACGGCTCAGGGTCAGGGTCTATCAACGGCAACTCGCAGAGAGGCGTGCTCCGTTTGAAGGGCAGGATCTACATCCGGCACATCCGCCAGGTCACCGACACCTCCGTGGCCGGGGAACTGAGCCTGACAATTGACATGGAGGACGAGCGATTGGACTCGTTCATCCTAATCTTCAAGGACCGTTCATCGCTCGAGACCTGGAAGGCGCATATCCAGGCGCTCGTCGCGGACAACCAGGCGCGGAACGGGCACGGGAATGGGAACGGGCACATGCAGCAGCCGCAGCCCGAGTACGTGCGCTCGCCGGACCTGGAGGAGTTCGGGGGGAGCCAGAAGGCGATGCGCATGCTCAGTGGGAGCACGACTGGCACCACGGTCAGTACCGCCGATAGCTTGTTGAATGAGTCGTCGCGCTCGACCGTGTCTTCTAACACGTCGTACGGCTCCGCCTCGCTCGGACCGCGTGCGGGTCTCCACCAGAAACTGTCCACCCTCGACGAGGACGATGAACTGAGCCGGTACGGCTCGCCTGCGCCGCTCGTGGCTCCCCACATGTCAGCTGGCCCGTCCAATTCCCTGACGCCCCTGCCGCACCCGCCGCTCGACCTCATTCTCGTCGTGTCCGTGCCTGGGCCGAACGCGACGCCAAGCACGGCTGCGCTCAAGGTGCGCGTGATCAAAACGTCGCTCGACTTCATCCTGGCTTCTCTGGCGTCAAAGGACCGCCTCAGCTTGGTCACCTTTGAGGTTGGCGTGGGCGGCAAGGTGCGGCGGACGCCGTTCTTGAACGTCGGGAAGCCACAGAGCCGGGCGCGATTGAGCAAGTTCATCGAGGACATCGGCCGTCGGGACGACTTCGACGATGAGTTCCTGGTGCGCGGATCCCAGGAGGATAAGACGGACGTTGTCACGGCTGTCAACAACGGTACGTACTCCGACGACGTGTGTGGGAGAGTCGCTGACAGATGTCCCTCCGTGCAGGTCTCGACGTGGTGCTGCAGCGCAAGTCACGCAATCCGGTCACCGGTTTCGTCCTTGTGAGCGACGCGTCCGACACGACGCGCCGCGCGCAGATGGACCTCGTCCTCGCGCGTGCCGAGGCGGCGAACGTCCCTATCCACTCGTTCGGCTACGGGCGCTCCCACGACCCCGCTTCGCTCTGGCTCATGTCGAACCACACGAGCGGAACGTACACGTTCGTGAAGGACTGGTATGATCTGCGGGACTGTCTCGCCGGGTGCATTGGTGGCATGATGTCCATCGCAATCATGAACATGAAGCTCCATCTGAAGATCGTCGACGGAAACCGCTTCCGCATCCGCAAGATCTCCGGTGGCCCGCTCGCCATCCTCTCCTCAGACGGACGGGACGTGGACGTGGAGGTCGGCGAGCTGCGCTATGGAGAGCGCAAGGAGATGCTCGTTGAGCTCGAGCTGGACAACACCGACGTAATGCAGAGCCCCGTCGCTTCACCGCAACAGTCGCATCCGCCCCGCGCTCTGAGCGCAACGGACGCGTTCAATCAGCGTATGGGTCTGGATGCGCTGTCCATCGGCGACTACGCCGACCTCGCAGAGGGTATGATGGACCGCATGATCGACGAGGTGCCCGTGTTCGAGGTCGACGGCTCGTTCTTCGACCCCAACGCCGTGAAGCACGTCTCGCGTCTTGCGCACCCTGTCCTTCTCACCGTCACTCTCTTGCCCAACACCGGCAGTCGGCCACGCACGCCGGCCTCGAACAGCTCTGACCCGGTCATTGTACGGCGGCGCATGGAGCTGCTCGCGTCGGACATGATCACGCGCATGCTCGTGCTCGTCTCGCGGCGCAACGTGCCTCAGGCGCAAAAGCTGATGAGCGAGACGCGGAGGATCCTGCACACGGTTCTGCAAAATATCACGCAGACGCTTCCGCCGCCTAATAGAGACGGGAGTACGACGACGCGGAACCGCAAGGAGATCCTCACGCTTTCCGCGGTCCGTGCCATCCAGGCGATCATGCAGGACATGCAGATCCTGTCTGAGGCGCTGGACGAGCAGGCCGACACCTTTGCTCTAGACCAGCGCAACTTTGGCGCGCAACAGGTACGTGCCTGTGTCGCTCCACTCCCGCGTTGTATGTGCTGACACCATGTTGATAGGCCAAGGTCCTCCGTGACCAGAAGAGCTGGAGCGGCAGAAGTGCAATCGAACGCTTGTTCTGGACGATCGACAGCTCCATCGAGCTGGTTTCTCGAAGCACCGACTGGGTCGCCCGCGACTGAGCCCGCCCTTGCTCCTTCTACCTCTCCATCTATCGTTAGGACCCCCATCACGTCTTTCTCCGCTGTGTCTTGCCATTCTCCTCGCGTCACCCCCAGGTCTCTCAGATATAACCCGACGAGGACCAACGATACATACCGCCGACCTGCATATCCACTCCCGATCCCATCTATTGTCTCCATATCGCGTTCGCGTCCCTTCCCTTGAAACGAACCCATCTATCTTCTTGCACCCATCCTGGCTGTGTCTTCGCTTCGCTTTGTGCTATTTGACCAGTGTCCGCCGCCTCTCCTTTGTCGTCTCAGTTTCGTCTTGTCGGTATTCTTATACCCCCGCTCGCGTCCTAGGGCTATCCAACTGGGCCGGGCTAATTCTTGATAGCGGCCACGCAGGGTGGAGGGTGTTGTCTTCGGGTCGTCGTCATCGTCAGTCGGTGTATTCGCGTGTAACGTTATTGGTAGACAGACACACCATATGCACATATGCACATGCCTTCTCCACTATGGTGTGCTCACGGGACTCCTCAGATGCGCAGGGATGCTGAAGGACCTCAGGAAGTGATCGTACCGAGCACGAGGCTTCGCCCAGGGAGCCCCTAAGACAGCCGGTCTACGATGATTCTCGCTCCCGAAAGCTCAGAGCGGGACACGTATGCACTTTGGGCGAGGATGTGCATACACCATACAGTAAGTACTCAATATAGCCGGCGCCATCGATGGTGCTCTTGATCTTCTCTCCCCTGTGTCTTCTCTGTTGCTCACGCTCGCCGAGTAAAGCGAAGTCCGGACTCCAAAAGGTCGAGCTTCTCGAATCAATCCGAGGCATCGCCAGAAAGTGAGCGGTCAGAACGTAGAATCTCGGCCAAGAGTTCGGACGAGGACGTTCGCAGGCGGCGACGTACTTAGCATAGAACTGGCACTATCGAACGGGTTGGGCCAAAAAGGCCGGTCCTGCTTTCGTAGGGCGATCGGACATCCCTCAGACGACGGCCAACCCTTACGCGTGCGGAGGTATGTATATGGACCTTGAACGGAGAGACAGCAAGGAGCAAAAAAACACTGTAAATCCGGCACCAGGTGAAAAAAAACAATGTTCAGCCCGAAGAAGGTACTACCAGGAATCGAACCTGGGTTTTGGGAACCTTCATCAGAATCCCAAGTGATAACCGCTACACTATAGTACCTATACACGTCGACCATATAGTCAGCTGATTTTTGTTTCGCCCCGCGTTTACAAGCGTACACTACATGGATGTTGAAGCTAATACAGAGTCAAAGGATAGGTATACAAGCGTCGCACTACACTGCTATATTCCCTTCGCTCCTACACTCGTCTCATGGTGTTGCAGCCGAGAGGACGAGAGGACATACAATGATTGTCCACTTACTCATCCACGCCCTCCTCCCAGCCCTTGGAGCGCTCGATAGCGCGCTTCCAGCCCTGCCAGCGCTTTTCTCTCTCGGGCTCAGGCATAGAGGGGGTGAAGTTGACGCTGCCCTTCGTGTTGACCTCCGCCAAGGTCTCCGGCTGGCTGATGTTCCAGCCGTGTAGGCGGACCGCCGAGCCTGCGAGGAGCGCCGAGCCCAGCGCAGTCGACCTGTGCAGTAGAAGACGTGAGTAAGCGATGGGTATTGCAGGTAGCAGAAGGAGCGGTGCGCACTCTCGCATCTCGGGGCGGATGACGGTGAAACCGCCGATATCGGCGAGCACCTTCATGACCTTGTCACCGTTGGTCATGCCACCGTCGACCTTGAGGTGCTTGAGATCCGCCTTGGAGTCGAGCTTCATGCTCTCGAGGATGGCGCGCGTCTGGAACGCGTTCGCCTCAAGCGTGGCAAGCGCGATGTGCGCCGGGGTGGTGTAGGATGACAGGCCTGTGAGAAGATGACAAAGGAGGTCGGTCGAGGCATTCGGCATGTCGGATCAGACACGTACCAATGAGAAGACCAGCCGCTCCCGGGTCCCAGTAGGGCGCGAGGAGACCAGAGAAAGCGGTGACGAAGTACACGCCTCCGGTATCGGGGACGGAATCCGCGAGGGTGTTGACTTCGCTCGCAGAAGAGACCATCTTCATGGAATCACGAAGCCTTCATTTCAGGTATGAGCGGAGTTCAAGTGAGCATGACGAGCATAGCGAATCTTACCACTTGATGGCGCTTCCAGCAACGGAGACTGAGGAGATGATATTAGTCGACGAAGAAACCGAACAAGCAGACGCGATACTTACTACTACCCTCCAGCGCGTAGATGGGCTTGCCGTTTCCATCCTGGTAAGCAACCTACAGCTGCGAATCAGCTGTGACTCCTTAGGTCCATGGCAATGACGCATACCGTGGACAGAAGGCCATGCTTGCTCTGAACGATGTCCTCACCCGTGCAGAACAGGAGGAACGCGCCCGTGCCATACGTGCACTTAGCCTCGCCCTGCTTCAGGCACTTGTTGCCGACGAGGGCTGCCTGCTGGTCGCCCGCGATACCGCCAATCTTCACCCCCTTGAGGGGCCCGTACGCGAGCTCGCCGTAGACCTCGGACGAGGAGACGATCTTGGGGAGGACAGAGTCCTTGATCTCGAAGAACTTGAGGAGAACGGGGTCCCACTTGAGGGTCTTCAGGTTCATGAGCAACGTACGCGACGCGTTCGTGACATCGGTGATGTGCAGGTTGGTCTGCGTCCCGCCCGTCAAGCGCTGTGATGAACAAGGTCAGGTAGTGCAACTGCAGGTAAACTCATGCCGACGTACGTAGACGATCCAGGACTCGACAGTGCCAAACAAGAGATCGTCCTCCTCGTGTGCCTTGCGGACGTTCTCGTGGTGGTCGATCATCCATCGCAACTTGATCGCAGAGAAGTACGTCGAGATCGGGAGACCGGACCTGTGCGTTACGCGCACGTATGCGATCTCAGCACAGATCTTCGCGCACACAGATGACATCATCACGCGACCGAGTACTCACAGCTCGCGCAGCGCATGGATGCCCTCCTCGCCCTTCTTGAACTGGCCGGGCGCGACCTCGATACCGACGCTCTGCAGCTTGTGCTCAAAGTGCGCGACAGTGTTCTTCGTGCGCGAGTCGTCCCACACGATCAGGCGGCAGAGCGGCTTGCCCGTCTTGCGGCTCCAGGCGACAGCACTCTCACGCTGGTTCGTGATACCTAGGGGAAGATGGAACGTACGTCAAGCTGATGTCGCGCAGGGGTCAGTTGACCATGAGCAGGAACGCACCGATGACCTTGATGCTCTCCTTGGCCCACCCCGCCGCCTCGAGGGCCTTCGAGGCCTCTGCGATACAAACATCGCAGCTCTCCATGAGCTCATCTGGGTCCTGCTCGTGCCAGCTATACAGCAGGCGGGAAATGAGCTTCTGAGAAGAAGAGGAAGAAAGGAAGCGAGTCGTCGCTGTGCGCACCTAGGCTCGGGATAGTATTGTGGGTATTCCAGCTGGTGCTGGGCGACGATGTTGGCATACTTGTCGAAGACCAGGAAGCGGGTAGAACTTGAGAAAGTAGACGAAGCGGTCAGGCCAACCCTCGAAGATTCAAAGGCTCATAGGAAAGCACATACGTTGTCCCGCAGTCGAGCGAACCGACGAACTCGCCCTGCTTGAGGTTGGTCATGGCGGTGGTGGTGATGAAGGGCGGGGGGAAGAAGGGTGAATACGGGATGGCATACTGGGCAGGGGCGCGTATTTGAATCTCGCAGCGATATCGCGGGATGGACTGAGCAGGATCGCAGAATCAGGGGGAGTGATAGGACGCCGACCGCCCGATCGCTCTCTCCGCCATTCCGGACGCCGGCCCGCCCCGTCAGCTGACTGGGGTAAACCTGGGGTAGCCCCGCCCCCATCCTCAACCCCTTCCCGCCCATCAACTCCGTCTTGAAAATACCTACACTGTTGTAGGTCGTCTCACCCCTCTGCAGCGGACAGTATGAGTTATCTCTATCAAATCCAAGTGGTATAATGTACTCCGAAGCATGCCGTGTAAATGGTACAAGATGAACGCACTCCGTCATGTCCCGGGCGAGTATGTTTACGCGTCGGCCGGACGCTCCTTCCGTAGCGGAGCCCGCACAGATGACTTTCTATCAGGAAACCCGACGTCAGCTCCGAGCCCTCCGGCCAGGCCCCATCACTCAGGTATCATATGCCATTATGCATCCTCTATTACTCCTGATCGAAGCACAGTAATCGATCCCTTCAGATGCAGCGTTCCTGTCAGCACGCGTCTCGGCCGACCACCACGACATCGCGAAGAGAATGTACCAACCTAAAGTCCCCGCATTTCCCCAGCAAAGCACTGCCCGTAGAGAAGGGTATGGTGGACGCTCTAGCTTCGAATGCCGAACTTGTGCTTCTCCCATTCGTTCCACGTGAAAATGGGCAGCGGATGCGCCTCCGTATTGAACACCCACTTGTCCAGAGGCACCAGGTCCTCGTTCCTGAACAACAAGTACAGGTACTTCAACCTGCGGGACCGCACAGAAGAACCCAGGTCAGCGGACACTCCGGCGGAAGGCAGACGATCGGAAACTCACGTCTCAGCGAGGAAGTAGCTGAAACGTAACGGTGCGCAGTCAGCGAAAACGGCTCGCAAACTCGGAGCCCCTATGTGTGAACCTGCCGGCGTACCTGGGCTGCTCGTCGCTCTGCGGCGCAGGCGATTGCGTGACCTTCTTCAGGCTGGCGTATCCCGAGGCCGTCTTCGCCTCGCGCTCGATGGCCTGGAAGATGTCCCATCCGCGCTCCCGCCACACCGGATTGCCCGTCGTCCGCCACATGATATAGATCGACTCGATCGTCTACCGGCAAGTCGGTGTCCACAGTCAGCGCTCAGGCCCCGGAGACGTGCAGAACGCCCGCGATCACCGCGATCGTGTCCTGAACAACTCACCTCGGGCCGCAGGAAGTAGTCCGCGCGCCTCACCACATAGTCCCAAGGTCCGTCGGCGGCCTTCGTCTTCTCGGGCACAGTGTATGGAATAGGCGTCTTGTCGCCCTTCCCGGGCATGGGCCCTCGCTGGCCGTTCGCGTACCACTCCTCGACTGCATCGATCCAGAGCTTGCCATTCCTGTCCACCTTGTCGCCTCTGCGAACCTCATGTAGCATGTCCACGACCTCCGGGCCCAGCCCGCTCGGCTGGTCAGCGTACGTTAGCCAGCAGCTGGTTGCGAGACCCTCGGCGGCGGCCATGTGCAGCGCGTTCAAGTTGTACTTCGAAAGAAGGTTGTACTGTCGACGTGCCTCAGGATTCAGCTTGCTCGGGTCGATGTCGGTGAGGGTCAGGTTGAGCGTATGTGCGCCCAGTGCAAGGAGCCCCGGGAAGAAGCACGCGAGATGCTCAAAGTGGTGTGTGGCCGAGAACGAGGCACCGTACGTGTCCGTCACGTAGAGCAGCTCGCGGTTGGGCGTGATGTACAGCAGGCGGGTGAGGACTTCGTTCATGCTGAGCAGATCTGTGTGTGTTCGGTCAGCTTGGGTATGTTCAAGCGAAAGATGGAAGCAATGCGCGTACACATCTCTAAGTTCTCTATGTCCGTTTTCCCGGTGAGCAAGTACTGCTTCAGGAGGTATTCGTGCCCGCTGTCTGCAGCGGCGCCCACGGAGCGCGACTCTACGCCAAGGCACAAGGATTCAGCTAACAGCTCGAGCGCTGTTCTGAACCAGCCTCTTACCACTCGTAGGCTTTCCGCCGCTCAAGTGCCACTGAGTAGGGAACATGCCTCCCTTGCGCTCTTCCATGGCGTCAGCAAGGGTGTTAATGAGGGTGGCGACCTGTACCCGTCTGAGCCTCACGAACAGGTCCAGTGACAACCGGTAAGAGTGTGCTCACTCGATCATAATGCGTCTTGTTCCCGGTCGCGTGGGCAACATACGTCCATTCAAGCTGGCAGGAAGCAATCTCAGCCAGGACGCCGCCTATGCCTGGGGTGACCGCAGATCTATGGACATTGTGTCAGGCAGCCTTCCCCGATAGAAACGCGCGTGAGCACGTACGTGTTGGGGTTCACGCCGAACTTTGGCAGACCCTTGGCCGTATTGAACACAGGCTCCAGGAGTGTCGCGAGATTGCTCGCCCGGTCGAGTAGCACCTGCTCGCCGGAAAGTGCGTGCGCCGCAAGGAGGCCGCCCAAGTAACGAATGACTGTCTCAAAGAAAGGAGCGTACTGCGACCGCGACCACG